TTAGCCAATCATATTTTAGAAAAATTAATAAAATGATCTACGAAAATTAGCCAATCGCATAGAAAGTTCGCTATGCTCTTTCAGTGTAGATAATGAGGATTTGAAAATATTTAACGAAAACTTTCGTACAAACATTAGCAATAAACAAAACTTGGTGAGGATTTGTATTCACATATAAAGTTTTTAGAGGTTTTTCAATATAGATTTACCTTTAGAAAGGATACATCTACATCATCGTAGAGCCACCCACTACTACTGGTAAGTGTCTCTCGATGGTTAGTTCAAGAAATTTTGTTTACAAAAATATCGAGTTTGATTTGATGTAACGTTTTTTAAAGAATTAGGATGAATAGAACCTCCAAAAACTGGTAAATTACTTTGCATTGTTTGTACTTAAATATATGACTCTAAGGCATTACTTTCTTTAGTTGAAGAAATTATCATGAGCATTATGCAAAGTGCCCGAAGGATTGACACATCCACGTCCAAATTACTTGACAAAATATACATGCCATTGCAACAGCGCAACTTTAAAGAGGCATTAAACAAGATTAAGGAAAACACAAGTGTTAATGTTAACAAAATGGAAGAAAAATCAAATTACTAGTGTCTCGTCAGTGCAGGAGCCCCTGGGATAGGTATAGATTTTTTGCAATTTTTGTTTTTTCTAACTAATTTATATAAATTGCTAATCTGTATCTGAAACACCATGAATAGGAAAAACACGATTTGGCAAGGAACTTTTTGAGCATGCTAAACAAAATTAGAAACCACTCCAAGGTTGGGGTGATGTATATTTTGAATACCTACACATAGATTTTGGATGTGACATTCATCTGGACAATTATGATTATGAACTTAATGCATCAGTAATTTTCAGATTGTGCATTGCCTACACATTCTTCATTAAAAAAAAGTATTATCTAATATTTCAAGAATTCCGTGTTAGTGCCCTTATGCACGACAAAGATATTTTTATTGTTGAGTCAGTTATCACCTATTGCTATAAATCCCTGAAGCTCTATAATAATCAAAAATTATTTCTATATCTCCATATTGATGAATTTCAATTGATTGATGAATGGGATGTACTGGATGCAAGAAATATAAAAAGGTACCAAAAGAGCTATTCAAAAATATGATCCGCAGTACTTCAACATATATGATTGGCCAACATCTTACTTTTATTCAGCTGTTCCTTTCAGGAATAGCTCCACAGGCTGTTGTCACGCAAAAACAGGCTTCAACTATTTTATTTTATTTTGTTGACTGTTCATTATTGGACAACGCATCAATGATCAGATCATGGATTATTTCTCCACAAGATTTAAAGCACCAATATTTCCAAATCATGATATAAGTGGAAACTTTGTGCTTCACTCTTTCAGCTTTTGATAAGCACAGGAGGATTGCCTCATGCGCTTGAACGATTGTTAATCATTTGCTTTAGGAGGTTATATGATGGTGAGATATTCTTCAAGGAACTCAAAAATCATGATTATAGCAGTATTTACAAAATTGTTAAAGAGGACCTTCAGATGATGCATAATATTTACGCAGATATGAACAAAAACAAGAATCTTGCTATAAAACTTCTGTATCACTGTGTCGAGGGAATTCCTGTTACTGATAAAACTTGCCTAGATGAAAAGAATCCACATCTCACAATAGAAAATCAACAACGTGATAGGCATATTATTCTTTCTCCTTATGATAAAAAGTTATACTTCATTAGGATGCCATTTTTTTATTCATATGTATAATGACATCTTAAAGATTGTTGATGTAGAACTTATGAATAAAGTCTTTCGAATAAATAATCACATGCATTGGCAAGACTGGGAGTTATTTGTATTGTACCATGAAGCATTTTGCACTAATCTGACCATCGAAACAGGAATTTCTGGAATGAATTTGGGACAACTATACCCTGGCACTTATAGGGAGGATATTTATTTACAGATATATGTAGTTCTGAAAAGGCTCCATTGTTATGAGGCGAATGAACAGTTTCTAAATAACAAGAAATTAACAAACAAATATGATAATAAATCAATTGACTTGGAGAGTGGGACTGTTGTGGTTCTTAATAATATATCTGCTGATTTCACAGATATAATCTTAGTTAGAATGAATGGTGAAAAATGTCTATTGATTATTCAATGCAAATGGGACTATATTGATGATGATGACATCAAAAATTTAAGCAAGCATATTGCTGAATTTAAAAAGATATATGAAGGTTATGAGCTCATTACAATCATCTTTACTACACAACCATATAGTGGACCACAGGAAAAAGTAGGCATTCTAATCATTTCAAAAGACAATTTCGATAAGCACTTTGGCCCCGTTTTTTTATCATTGGCCACATTTTCCCTTATTAAAGCTATCAATCCTAATTTTTGGGATGTAAATAGATTGAAAAACATCTTCGATGATATTGGTGATGCTTCTATTGAAAATGTTATTGAAAAGCGACCGTACATTAATGAGAAGCATTTTTACAGAGAGAACCCAAAGGCGAAAAAACTGATATTAGATTTTTTCTACTCGATATACCAGGAACTGATGTATATGCGCCATGATTTTCACAACCTTAATTATGATTATAAATTTGTTGTATGAGCGCTAATATTAAAACATAAGAATGTATCAGTGTTGTTTTTGATACTCTGGATGGGAATCCGGCCGTCCCAGTTAGAATTTTTATACAAGGTGCCCGGTTCACTATACTAATATTTTAGCCCTAATCTTAACCTTGCTAATTATTACTGCTACTTTCATAATTCCTGGAACACCTGATAAAAATTGACTGAATGTTCTGACTGATTCAATTAAGTTCGTGATTTCAGCATAATAGATTTAATACAGTCAGACCTTTCTATATAATCACACCCTTGGTTTGAAGAATTTTGTGTTTATAGAAAGTTCATACTTATACAGAGGTTAGATTTTATAAATATTATACAGTTATACAAATACTGTATCTCTGGCTGAATTAAAGGTACAGACTTATTGACGTCGTTAGTTATGATCTATTTTACGACCTTGTTACGTAAATATGTCTGCACTTCTAGGTTAAATACAGAAATATGATACTAAACAACTTCGCTGGAAAATATTTGAAACAAATTCAGAAAGCCTATCATTTGGAAAAATTGCCAAACGCTTAGGTGTTAGTAAGTCGTATTTTCAAGCACTAGGATATCGATTTAATGAAAAACTTTTGTGACAAAATTTTAATAATAGCACCTATTTGTGCAATATGTTTATTGCAAAAGTTCTTTATGTCCGGTGCCTTTTTTATATTTTTTTATTAAGATTTATTAGTTGACAAGAACAGCCTTTTCATAAATCTTCTCAAAAGTTAAGTACACCAAACATGTTTGTCGAGTTTTCAAACGAAATGTTGATATTATTATTATGATCTGTAAAGCAATCATGATCAAAATTATATAGCTTTTATTATACGAATCACAATCGAATTGGCTGGAACATCACTCATTTAATTTTTATCAAGTGCTCCAGGAATTATGAAAGTAGCTGTAAGCCGGGTACCCGATTCTAAATTGGGACGGCCGGATTCTGAATCGGGCGGATTCCGACATATATAGCTATTACGGATAACCGTCATATAGCCATTGTTCCCTAATACTAATACTAAGTAATGCCGAATTATTCGGCAGGTACTATGTAAACACTGACGGAAAAAATTTCACATTATTGCCGCAGGTTAATATTAAAATCATT